ACCAAACACGAACATTTTCACTCGTTCCGAAACCCAACAACTCTAGTCCACGTCTACAGGCACCCCACCTGGGCCTGGGTAATCCTACTGTCTGGCGAAGCACATTTAATATCTCTTAGTTTTGTCTGATGTATGTGTTGTAATACCTGGGGAATGGCTCGATTCCATTTTGGTTACTCATAGCGTGTCTGTAGTATTTACCCCTGTTTGTGTTAAAAAGTTTTACTCTCGAGAGGGCGCGAAAGTGCTGTACATGAGGTGTTAAAAAATCAGTATAACTTTGTCAATATGATGCTAATACTAACTAACATGGTTTCGATGTTATTTGATATTTTTTCACGGTTTCAGAGGTTCAGTAAATTAGCCATATCACTGTTGTCTGACAACTTAGCAAAATATTTTTTTCACGAATGGACAGGTATAAGTCCACGCTATCAAATCTTGTTGGTCTGATTTTCAAACGTAAAAGAACACGGTACTGATTGGAACACAAAATACAACAAATATGATTACTTTTTTTTACAGTAACAGTAGCGAAAAATTCCTGTAACATGCAACTCAAGCACGGACTGTTCAGCTGGTATGATTCCAAAAGATTGACGCGAAAAAATCGATGTAAAATCCTGGACTATGTAAAGGAGTGTGGCTGGGTCTTTTTTGAATTTGACGCGATTGCACAAAACTACGTAATCCTCCGGTAAACAACATGTTATTTAAATGTGTTGTCTGCGCACAAATAACGACAGGTCACCGACTGAATTAGGTTATCCAGTCTAGTTTTAGTCCACTTTCCTAGATCCTCATATTTCAGAACTTGCACAGTTCATAATTCACGACTAATTTCCTCTTTCGCAATTTTTTCTTTAACATGAAAAATCACAAAACCGTAACGTTTCACTTGTACAGTTCATAAATAAGTATATTTACACGTAATTTGTTCCTCGCATGGAAATCGCTTTGGTCGCGTATGCTTTACCGCAACAAATCTTGGTCAGTAATATTTGTCTTTTTACAACCCGAAAAACTACCCCATGTACTTTATAGGATAATTAACTTGACTTCTCGCGGTACGACCTTTAACGTGAAATATTCTCTCCGGATTAAACTGAATTATTTTTCTTACTTTCACTTCGATGCGAGTGCTATCAGACTCAATATTCCGGTAGCTTAAAACTGAATTTTTTACCATCGATTGAACCGACTAATGATTTTTTTTTCTACGCCCACCAACCACGGGAATCTGATCCACCAATATAATTCATTTCATTCAGCCCAACGCATCTCCAGAAATCCAAAATTACGACGGATATGCCATCTGCGGATTGTCACGCGCACTTCTGCGCATGCGCGATGCTGCTATATGCCTAGTTTACTAAATTTGGTTCCAATCGGTTCAGCCGTTTAGCCGGAAATTAGAGTACAGGCGTACCGACAGATCGACAATACATGTATTTCCGTAAAAAAAGGGAGTGCGAGTGGTAAAAATGACACAAACGATCGTATCGTATCGTATGGGTGGTACTCCCTAGGTACAGACGTTTTCAGGTCGCATCAACAGCCGCCTGTGTGACTTAACGACAGTCGTGGTATGACTGCCGGGACCGCCAGCTTTACATACATGCCCTCCGAAGCATGGTAGTCAGGAGATGTTCTGTACCACTAAAAACTGGCAAGTTGTGGGATTCGAACTCACAACTTTTGAGGTTAGAGCCCGAATCTTAAACCGCTAGGCCAAACTGACAACAAACGATGAAGACTTTGGATACTAGCTGTCGAAAATGACACATGCCATTACAGTTACTCTGGACCAGGCTCTGGAGTCACTCCAGTGACAACAACTACAGGTCCTACTCCGCAAGCACTCCTGAAATTCATCTCCTGCAGATGCAAACGATTAAAAATAATTTAATCAAAAGACGCTTGTGTAATATGCGAGAATAAATGATGATAAAAATTCTGATATTTACTTCGTAGTTCCTTTAAAAGTGTTAAATAGTAAAATCCGTAAAAATCTAGATGTCACGGCGGTAAATCTCGAAAATTATTGTGCAGAAAAAACCTTTGAAATCTGTGGCACAGCCTGGAACACAAAAAGGAAACATAATTATCTTAAGGTAGTAATTCTTACATGTTATCGCTCACCATGCGGGGATTTTGACAAATTTTGCAAGCTGTACTAGACTCTCTATTTACACCAACTGTTCACTTCATTTTGCTGGGGGATATAAATGTTGATCCCGCTAGAGATAACGGCCTTTTTAGTAAAATAAGTCAGCTACGGATCTATGAAAAGTATCATAACCGCACCTACTAGGAAAGGTAAACTTTTAGGCCATGCCTTCACAAGTGTTAGTTTAGGTAAATTTAAAGTTAATGTTTTACAAAACTGCATTTCTGATCACAGTACCGCGTTCTCATAAAATCAAATATAGATGCTCCAAATCAAAGCGAAAAAATTCGGATTAGAAGTTATAATGAAAATCGCCGTAGAGAACTCTATAGTCAATTGGAAATAGAAGATTGGGATCCAGTGTTAAGAGGATCGGATGTAGAGACCGCTTTTAATATATTTGGTAAGATAGTGTCTCACCACTTCAACAATATTTTTCTTCCTTATCTATATAAAAACAATAACGCAAACTTTCCTAAAGGGTGGGTTAATGGGGACGTGAGGACGTCTAGTGCAAACTTGAAGTCATTCTACATGTTACAAAGTAAATATCCCGAGCTAAAGCCCCAATATATAGAAATGAAAAGGAAGCATATGACCCTAATTAAACATGTTCGCAGGGCGTATGTCCAAAACACCATTCTTAACTCAGATAACATATCGTAAAAAGCGCCTGGTCATTTATAAAAAGCAAACACGACTCCCAAAATAGAAACTTGAAATTGAAAAATGGTTCAGTGTACATTGACAACCCCCACGATGTCACAGAATCTTTCCATAACCACTTTAAAAACATTCCTAATGAGACAATTGCAAAAATTACCAAACATACAAACAAAGCAATTAAACTAAACTATAATCCAAAATCTTTGTATCTAACACCCTTTTGTGAACCAGAAATGATAACGCTTATAAACAAAAAAATAAAAAACAAAAGATCAGCAGGGCCTGATCAACTCCCATGCTCCCTTATTAAATTTGTTTCTAAAGTAATTGCGAAACCTGTAACTCATATTGTAAACTTGTCATTCGCGACTGGAGAGTTTCCAGTTGCCTTAAAACTAGCAAAAGTAATTCCGGTTTTTAAAAGCGGTAGTGCAGAAGATGCAAGTAACTATAGACCAATTGCCATAACATCAGTTTTCTCAACAATTCTAGAATATTGCCATTTAGATAGATTAGAAAGTTTCTTAAAAAATGTAATGTACTTAGTCGAAATCAGTTTGGATTCAGACCAAATACATCTACAGCAGACGCCGTCCAATTTTTCTTAGATAAAATACTGAAGTCAATTGAAAAAAAAGAAGCATCAATTGGAGTGTTCTGTGACATATCCACGGCGTTTGATTAAACCATAATAGATTACTTCACTTCGGAAGGTACCAATAACTTCATTAATTCAAATACTGTGACACTTAATGTATGCACTCCACAGGGAACAGTTCTGGCTCCAATTTTGTTCATTCTATACACAAATGATCGTATACAATATGCACAGGAAAACGCTGTCATCACCCTATATGCTGATGATGATACATCTATAATTGTATCAGACAGAGATAGAAATCGTATCGCAAATAAATGTAATCATACCATGCGGAATATCAGTAATTGGTTCAGTGAAAACTTCCTTTATTTAAACGAAATTGAAACAAAATTTCTTCAATTCCATAATCGCCACAATACAAATATTCCTTCTATTAATATTTGCATTGATGGCAATCAAGTAAATAAATCCGATGCTGTGAAATTCTTAGGTATACCTAACACTAGATGAAGCCCTAAGCTGGAAACCTCATTGCCAAAATGTAGTGTCACACTTACACCGTCTTTGTTATCAAATGCGATACTTAAGTAGCTATCTTGATCTGAAGCAATTACAACTCTTTTACCACGCATGTGTGGAATCCAGGTTCAGATATGGAATCTGCTTTTGGGGTTCTTCACATGCCGCTTTTCAGGTTTTTGTAATTCAAAAACGAATAATAAGGTGTATGACTGGTGCCCACAGAACACAATCTTGTAGACAACTGTTCCATCGTCTGTCTATATTACTTTTCGCCTGCGTCTACATGTTTGAAATTTTGAAGTTCATTTACCAAAATAAAATACCTAAATCTTGTCAAAAATAGCAACATTCATCATCATCAAACTAGAATATGTGAACAATATATTATACCTTTCGGCAGAATAAACATAAACAAAACCAATGTCTATATCCTTGGAGTAAAAATATTAAACAAACTTCCACTTGAAATAAAAACGCTATAACATTCTCTGTCTTCAAGCACAAATTAAAAAAGTATCTATCTTATCCATGTAGGTACCTAAAAGATTAAATTAAATACATATTATTATTAATTATTATTATTATAGTATTTGGAATTAAATCATGATGCATTGTTGTGAATAAACTACATTCCTAATGAAGAAACTTCCAAAACCTTCCCCAAACGAAAAAAAGCTCTTTTCAGTGAGGCGTGTGTGGTCGAGTCCACTGGATCCGAAGGACGTGGCGTTAAACAACCAAATTAATTAATTACCCTTCCTGTGATTATTGACAATTATCCCAAACTGCAGTAAAAAACCAATTATTGCCATAAAAATTTAATTGAGAACATTATAAATTAATATATAAAGACTACGACCTTTATGAGGGTAATAAATAACTCAAATTCGTATAAATTATTGTAATATTAATACACTGCGCCTCGCTTTGCATTGAATATTACTTGCTCATCTTCTACCAAATGCCATCACTTTATGTAATCATAAAGGACTCATGCTCAATATGTTCTAAGGTGTGAAGTGTGCAGGAACTTTTTGGACAATAAAACTCAACTTTAAATTATACGCTACATTTTCATAAAACCGTGATGCTACAGCAATTGACCTTCTTCAGCTGATATACGAAAATCATATTTCATTTAATCTTATTAATCTGTCATTAGCTCACCGGCGGGTTATTGTGGGGAGAATTGCATAGCAAATTTTCTCGTTTGGATTAATATAAATATCGAGCATCTCGTACTGCACTTACATTAACTTAGTCAATCACACCATTTGGATAATGTATAAATTAGTGAGTGTCACCTTACAAAGTGCGATTATAACAATAATTAAATTTTACAGTGTTTCCTGTCCCTCTTTGTTGCGATGGTGTTCGCTCAAAACCCCGAATCACCACCAGCAGGGTTTCCAAGTTTAAGACAATCTTCGCCATATTATCCAAACCCTTACGGACCAGTAATACCAATTCTGAGGCAACATTCAAATGCCGAACCTGGGCAAAGTTACAATTGGGGGTGAGTATTGATGATTAAAACGATAGCACCAATAAAGTCCTAACAGTTTTGAGGCTGCGAATGGCATTACGGCGGAAGAATCGGGTAACATAATTCCCTTAGGGCCAGAGCTTGCCGATAAGCAGGTCACGGGTTCATTCTCTTACATCTCCCCAGAAGGGATCCCTGTTAGTGTACGTTATTATGCTGATAGCAACGGTTTCAGACCACAGGTTTCGATTCAGCAGGGAGGTTACAGATTCCCTGGACAAGTTCAGCAACCCTAATCGTCTAAAGGAAGTGAATTCTGTAGCTAACGACTCGGCTTAACGCACGCTTAATATGTCACATTTTAAAAGGAGTTTCTCTTAGCCAATATTATATTTTGTACTTATAATGTATAATAAAATAGATAATATATTACTTCACTTGGCCAAGACTTTATACCTTCACAAAATGTCGAAAGTCGGTTTTTATGACTTTATACATAAATGCAATGACGGTTGTATACGGATAACCAATCCTGGCAAGGCTGTGCGGTTATACTTCCTTAGAAAATGAGAGAAAAATTACACAAGCCGCCGCCCCCGTAAATGATACTATGATGAGTTATGTTTCGAGATGCTGTTGATGCGATCTCAGAATTTCTGTACCTCGGGAATGCCACAATACGATAAACATATAATGGGTCACCCTGTGTGTAGATTTGATTGCTGCTAAACACTAAGTTCGTTCATGTTATTTAAATTTCAACATTCAAAGTTCAACGCTGTTTTGTACAAGAATTATTAAATGTTTGAATTTCGTTTTAATTGATCAGGTTTGTTTATTTTGATTTGTTTATCTAATTGTAAATGTGAAATTACGAGGACATCTGGTCGTATTTGCGCGTGGTATTAAAAGGTTTATCTGGCCCTTGTGATAAGAACATTTATTATCCCGGAAGCAGACATTTAAATTAGCTTCAAGATCAGTACATGGAGTCGCCGATAAGAAACCAACAGGGCTGCAGTTTATTTCGGAGCTGGCGCCAATCAAATTTGCTTTTTATTGGCTCTTTGTTTACGAAATCGTAAAGACGGAAATTTTTTAAGGTGTAAGGTGTTTGACAGTCAGCCTGTTAGATCTTAAGACGGCATTTTTCTTTTAGATAGTGAAGTTCGTTTATTAAAAAAAGTTTTTTGATTTAAACAACGATGTCATTAAATATTTAATCGGGTTTGCGAGAAGTTTTGGGCGTTGCATCCGTATTCAGAACAATTAATAGTTCAAATGTGCGTGTCGACCAAGCAGTTTATTGCACAGCGAGAACTTTCTACAAGGTTTTCTTATCGTTAAAAGTATTCCACCATTCGAGAAGCCATAAATTTAATTATCAAATTAAACAGAACCAGTTCACGTGTTATCAAGATTAAGTGTAAAAGGAAAAAAATGAAGTTTATTTGAAGCTATCAGTGAGTGTTTGTCTAGTTTACTAGTCAATCAGATTATTAGAGACAGTCTGGTTTTATCTGGATGGACCCACCGGCTCAACAGGTTCAATAGGTCTTTGAAGGCGGATATGCCCGGAAAGTCACGTAGACAATTGGCTTCCACTGCGTCTGGATACCCTCTTTCTTCAGGGAGTTCTAGGAGTTTCTAGTAATCTATCAAATCTTTTATCTCCTTTCTCCCCTTTGGCTCCTGGTTTTCACATTTTCCCCCAATGTCTCCTTTTTCGCAGTGCAAGTATTCCAGGATTTCCAGGTCTACCTGCTGGCAGCTCCCTTTTCACCAGGCCTTCTAGGCAAGAGAGGTTCTCTTGGAATTCCTTACAAAAATCGCGCGGTATCCCCCTCAACCCTGAATAACTTTGTTCTCCTTTTTGTACCTACCTTTCGATCTACCAGGAAGTCCATCGGATCCCTTTTGTCCCTGACGATTTTATAAATGATGCGAAGATCAGTTTTAACCTAGTATATAAATGTAACCTACAATTATAGAAAGACTGCTGCCAGTGCCCTTGGGAACTCGGGAAGCTACTTCGACTTTCGCCTCCTGGCAAACCAACTGCACCAGACTCTCTTTTGGTCACTTTTCGCCTAACGCACCTTGGTCCAGGTCTACTTGTCACGTTCCAACCTCCAGGTTGGCCATCGAGCCCCTCTTCTATTTAGGACCACTAGATGAAGAGTACCACCAACTCCGCGATCCCCTTTTTTATCTACAGGACCCGGAATTCCAGGATATCCATCTCGATTCTAGATTGTTTTTATCTATGAACTTACGTGAGGGTCAGATGCACCTGCATCTGCTACTTCCCATGCTACCCTTTTGGATCTTATGCAGAGCTGGGTCGAGCGTTCTAAAACACCGCTCGAGCGACGAGCGCTCTAATTTTCTCAAAAATGGGAGCGGAAAAAACGTTCGCTAGCGGCGCCTAATCCTTCACCGCTTGAAGGCGGTTAAAAGCGCTCACGAGTGAAAAAAACGCTCAGGAGCGGAAAAAGTGCTCGGGAACGGAAAAAGAGCTCGCGATCGGAAAAAATATCTTGCGAGCGGAAAAACCGCTCGTGTGCAGAAAAAAGCGCTTCCACATCAGAAGGCGTGGCCGAGCAAATCACTAGCGACAGAATCGCGTACTACGAAAATTGAGCGCGAAGCAGCGTCATTCTGGAAACTTTTGGGTACACATGGTATTACTTCTCCTACTATTCCTGGGTTTCCGATTTCCTTTTGACCCTTCAAATTTATTTTACAGTGCGCCGCTTCACCTTTCATTCCCTTGATTCCAAAACTCTCAGGATACCCTCTAGGACCTGGTTCCCCTGATTGTATACCTAAACTACCCTGGCACCAAATAATTAGACCAATATCAACTTATTTTGGTTCCGTTAAACCCATTCACACCAGGCATTGCGGGTGCACCAAGAGTACGGTATAATCCCGGAACGTCGTTGATACCAGGAAATCCGAGAACTCCTATTTTGTATCGATCCCTCTTTTTAGATCGGCCCGTACTCGTCTCTTTCACATTTCGACCCCATTGCACCTTCGGGACCGAGCAATTACAGAGTGACCCGCATAATGCTTTTTAGAAGTGCCCCTACAAAAAGTCCTAAGTTGTTCTATACTACTCCAGTATTTACCTTGCGAATTAGGAAAACTGCAGGAAAATCTAATTCGGAGTAGCCGGCAGAATGCTCGAAGCTGATCTAAGGAATTCTCTGTCATCGGATGAACAATTTTTACATCAGCCCATGTTCGAACACCCGACCCCCGGCTGTGTAGCGCAACGCTCTACCGCTGAGCCACATAGGAGCCAAGGGACATTTTTGTACTCTAAAAGACAAACAGACTTTTCGAAAATGATCTTGCCTTCTATAATAGGAATCCCAAAACAATTTTCGCATGTGTGTAACTGTAGGTACAACCATTGAATATCCAACTCCTCAGAATGCTTATTACAATAGTAATATATGGGAAATTATTTTTTAATGAGGTAAAGAACCTGTAGATGGCATAGTAATGCAAAATTAGCATAATCATAGCTAGGGGGAAAACCAAATATATAGTGGGTTTAAGTTGTGGAATTNGTTGAGCTTGGACCTGGGGCTGTTTTTTGTTTTTTTCTGGGTGAAATTTACTCCTATTCGAAAATAATTTTATAATTGGGATTCAAGTATGTAATCGATTGAAATCATCTTAAGAAGATTTTAAGAAACTTCAAATTACATTAATTTAAATTGGGATCCATCTTGTAAGCTTTGTATTAAACATGTTCGGCCCTAAAAATATCCTCAAAATGTCCATTTAGTGTCTTGGAATGATTACATGTATCACTGATTTGCATGAAAATGTAGGTTCTATTTACCTTCTACTTCACATGGAAACCTGTAACGTTTAGTGGTTGCTTTTTTTAGGCGAGAACACAACCCATGTTTGCAAATATGTAATTCTAAATGTATTTTCAAGCTGGTAATCACAATACGCAATGTTCAAGTACAACTGGGCTGTTTAGGACCGGCTTATCATGTTTCATTTTAATACATAAACAATGTTGGATAAGTTCTATGATGTTCGAAGATCTCCATAATTTTAGTTTTGAGTGTTTCGACTATTTTGATTCTCATACAACTTCGTTCTATGAAAGTGCCTAGTCCGCAATTGTAGCAGGATGGTCTAATGTAAATTCAAGAACTCCTTCTGATAATAAAAAGATACCTAATGGCTAATAGCTATCACTCACTACTTGATCGGATTCTATCGACTGCATTAACCTAGTACCTATATGCTTTTGTGATTTACCAGTATATTATATTGCTTGAAGTATTAATTACTACCACGTACCTAGACATGCATTACTGTGGGGGAAGGCATGCTAAAAAATAAGCGAAATTGATATAAATACTGAATAGTTTTGACCATCAGGCATAGAACTCTTAGTATCTGCCACCATGCATAGATTGGTAAGTAATGTTATAGTGGGTGTTTAATTCCCTATCACGTTACATTTTCTGTACTGTACTATCATTAGTCTCGTTACGCCAATTAAACACAAGCACGATTTGTAATAATTTAGAGGATACGTTTAAGTAAATTATAGTGGTTAGCCATTAGTTCAAAGATCACTCTCAACGCCTTTTTGTAAATTTCAGGTGATCTGGTTTACCTTCGTAGTGATTGTCGTCGCGGACGTCTCGCATCTTTACAATGGGGGAAACGAACGCCAGCAAAAGTTCTCACCGGCCCTTCAAAATACCGCTCCATTTTTACCACAATTAAATCGAGATCTGGACTATTATCCTTACAGGAACGACTTCACTGGAAGAAACATTGAAATTTTGCATCAGGATAACGACGGAGACATTGGCGGTAATTACCAATGGAGGTGAGTATAGTCAGCAAGTTATACTTTACAGTTAGCAAGGTTGTAAGGATTAGGCGCTGTCTTTGCCGTAAATTTCGATTATTTTTAGTTATTCGACTGCGAATGGAATAAGTGCCGAAGAAGTTGCTAAAGTTGAGGCCATGGGTAAAAACGATGCAGTAAAATCCGTGCGGGGTTCGTATCAATACACATCTCCTGAGGGAATCCCCGTCTTTGTCACTTACACGGCTGATGAAAACGGATTTCAACCGCATGTAAAGACAACTGATGACAATAGACAAATTTATGCTGGACGAGCACCCCAAGGGTATTACAAATCTGTAACAAATAGAGGATATTAACGGACGTGCATTGTAATTATTGTAAAAAATAGTATACTGTATGTAGGTATAGTATCACCCTTTTGCATGTATAAATAATAAAGCTTCTTTTGCATTGCTACTTTAAAATACATCATGAGTATCGTAATTTTTCAAAATTTCGTCCCATCGTTTTTCGTCATTAGAAACATGTTTTTTCCTTAAACTTCATGGAAATATGATATTCGATGCACGTACATGTCTGAAGTGCAATTTTTATGTCGCTACTTGCAGTTACCAATTTACCATTGGTAACGGATAATTAAATATGGTATAAGCAAAGAATACTTAATAATTAGTTACTCTTTGGTATAAGTAATAAAAACAACCATTATCTACGAGAATAGTATATTATATACCGCGGGACTGAAGTAGTACTTTTAATCCCGAAGGTAAAGTTTATGGCCCGACCGAAGGGAGGGCCATAATTTACCTGAGGGATTAAGACCACTACTTCAGTCGCAAGGTATATACGATATTTTTCGTACTTCCGAAACCGAAACACTTAAATATGTATGGAGTTAGAGAACGCGTTTTTTCAAAAAATCGCTGCTTAACAAGTTACCATAGGAACGTTGCGTTGGTATGACAATCCCTATGCCATGGTAACAAAAATAATTTGGAAACTGTCATTGCTAGTGTTATAATTTTGGTGGTGGGTGACAAAGGTGTATTTGATATTGATAAAAAGCGGCCAAAGTAGGTAAAGAATTGATACCACCGGAATCCAAAAAAACTATATGAGCAGCAGTACGATGCGTTTAAGAAGTAGGTAGTGCCGCATACAAAATGTGGAACAACCTACTGAAATTGCCTTGTTAGTAATTTCATCCTTCCGGGATTTTCGTCTAAATTTAATCCCGGCGCGGCGGGATAAAAAGTGACACTTCAGTACTTGTCATAATGGAGTGAAGTTGTTACTTTAGTCCCGGAAGTACGAAAAACAGTTTATTGGATAATGGTTTTTATTCATGTGTATCGTACAAAGATTGTTTCCAATCCCCAAGAATGTTTAAAAAAATTCATTGGTAATTTACTAACATAAATGGTAATTCTGCTAATATCAAAGAGGAACTAATAATATTCTTTGCTAATATGATGAACATTTAAAATAGGAAAGTTGACTCCACCTTTGCTAAGGCTAAGTGTAGTAGAAGTTCTAGGCCTTTCATTTGCATTTACATCTGCTTCAGGGGTAAGTTTTGCTCCTTCGTTCCGAATCATCTTTGTATTTCTGGATTCTACTTTGCAACGGAGGACTTTTGCGAGAGGACGCAGCAAAGGTAGCCTGGATGGTTACTGCAGACCCCTCGATATGCATTGCCTGTAACATAGTATAATACCAATATTATGCCTATAAGTACGTTCAGGTAACTTTATGAATCTTTCATAATTATTATCCATAGTGTTGATAGAGATATCTCAAAATGAGGGGGACAGGGTAAAACAACAAAATTCCTAGACCTTCCCCATAGATTTGTGTAATAAATATTAAAGTTTAACTTTTAAACAATTGGTGTGTAATCTTTGTTGTCTTTGTATACAGTGCCACTCCTATACCAAAATGGTCCTGTTTGCAGTTGGGCCAACTTTTCGGGTTTTTGGAAGGAGTACCTACTTCATACGGGATGCTCTGCCACTTTTTTGTGAAATTGTTGTATTAATAGCACAAACAGAATCAATCTAGCTACGTTTGTTTCTGAAATACAGGGTGAAAACGGAAAGTTTGACTTTTTGGGATATTATCATAATTATCTTACCACCCATGGAAGATAAAAAAAGTAAAAATGCAGAATCCAGTGGCGTAGGCAAAAATTTTTTTACCACCGTTTCTGACATTTGACCCAAAGTTGGTATTTTTTAAATACAGCACCCTCCTATATCACAACGTCAATTTTTTACATTCTTTTTCTTGATTACATAAATAAATCACAACATTCACAACCTATATTTATTTAAATAATTATATATACTATATTATATACAGTGCGTTTAAGATAATATGGTTAGGTACCTCAATATCTGTTTCATTCGGCAAGATACGAAAAATGTGTCAAATATAATTTTATATGTGACATTACGATCTATCTGATCGCATATTCACTTCCACCATCACTTCCGGTTTAACCGGAAATCGATGCAACTTTTGAAACGCAGTGCCTATGTTTTTTTACGATATTTGAAAAAAGCAATCAATTTTCATTTACGATTTAGTATTCAGAAAATTTATGAAATCTAGCATGATTTCATATTTTCAAAATTTTTTAAATATTGAACATTCTCTATTTTTCGTATATCAATCATATGCATATTTTATGTTGTCGTACAGCAAATTCATAGCGCTTTTTAAATATAAAAACAACAGGCATAAGGCATTACATTTGAAAAACAACAGTTGCATCGATTTCCGGTTAAACGAAGTTTGAATATGCGATCAGATAGGTCATAATGTCGCATATAAAATTATATTTAACAAATTTTTCGCATCTCGCCAAAGTAGAGATATTGAGATGACCCTATTATCTCAAACGCACTGTACATTTATATCATATTTATCAAATCGTCAGCTTATTTATTGGTATCAGCTGCTTTAGTTTCCATAGATAGAATAAACAAAACAGAATGTCCATGAATCCATGGCCTACTATTTAAAAACAGTAAAAGTAAAAAATAAGATTAATCCAATCGATATACAGGGTGTGGCATTTAAAAATACCAACTTTTGGTGAAATTTCAGAAACGGCGGCCCAACATTTTTTTTACCACACTACTGGATTCTACGCAAAAAAGTCTAAAATAGCTAGGCAGTTTTTAACTTTTTTTCTGTGTTGCATGGGTATAGTAGGTAAGTAAGATATGATTCAATCCCAAAAAAGTCAAACTTCTCGTTTTCACCCTGCATGTCAAAAACAAACGTAGCTAAGCTTTGAATCAAAGGTAGCTAGATTGATTCTCTCTGTGGTTGTTGCTTCAGCCGTAATCAGCGCTTACACAGCCGTTTCCAGTGCCAAAGCGGAAAGTATTCTCGCTGAGAAAAAATGGCGGCCGCCAAACGACAGGTGCGCGTTCAATAGTACCGCAAAATTGGCGCTACGACAGCAGTGGACCGGCTCAACGCAACCATGACTCAGAAATAGCGTTGCCTGATTGGGCCACACGGTTTGGTCACTAGCTTGCTAGCCCGACAGGTTAATTACTGGTCACGTGGCCGCTATAATTAAAAAAAAAACGTAATCCATAACAGCCAAATTTGCTATTTGGTTTACGGATGTAATAGTGTATGTCCCAGTGGTAATATCTAGACAGCAGCAATACTTAATGCGCTCTCCGAGCTAGAGAAGGCGATTCAAAACGAAGCGCAGTGTGCAGATGGCATTTCTCGAAATGCCGAATCCGAAGATTTACAGATGTTGTTTCGTTTATTATTACTTATTATCACTCAAAAAAGTAAAGTAACGGAAAGAGGGTTGTTGTGAATGAACCGTCAGCGATTGATATAGGACCAAAGTCAGGGCAAGTATCTCTCAGTTTGATTTTATTTTGTGAAAATGGGGTGAATTTTTTCAGAGGATCATTTACGACTTAGAAACTATTACGATAAATTGTCTCATCAATAGCGGAAGCTTTAAACGCACAAAATTAAAATGCTATAACCAAAGTTGAAATGTAAAATAGATGATTTTGCAAAAAATACGGACAACGGCGTAAAATTAGAAGCGTGCAATTAAATTTTGTTATCATTTTTTATTATTCAAGGTGAATGAGCTTGTTATAAACAAATTTATATTATAATTATTCGCGTAAACAATATTTTTATACCTATGACATTGACATTTGTTGTCGGATCCCCTAAATTTGATTGATTGTAACTTAAACCGCCAATCCAAGTAGCCTTTTATTATACGAGACCTAGGATTTTGTATCGACGGCCTTTCTCAATCATTTGGAGCAACCTATTCAAATAATCAGGATTTCGAGATCGACGACCAGTGGATAGCGCCATTAGTGTGAAAGTAACCATTTTCTTGTATAGGCATAAACCGAATCCTTTAAGAATGTTGGAAATTTAGATTTTATTTGATCAGTTAAGTAGTAACGAAGAACTTTAACAGGTCTGAAAAATTGAAAAAAAATTAAATTGGATAAAAAGTGGACCCATCTACAGGAAAGTAAGGTTTTTTTTTATTTGAATTGATTACATCTCAAGAACCCTCTAGCTTGATTCAATTTATTCTTAAGATTGTGAATGGCTAGAAGAAAACAGCCAACCCTTGTATTATTTACAGTGGAAGACTTAAGTTAGTAATAACAGTGGCCACTTTAATCATTTCGTACAACCTCAGTACTTGAATTTGACGCAAAATTGACATTATTCCTCGCTATTAGTATATTTAAGTCTGTGGATAATAGCCAAATTTGATTTTTAGCATTGGAAATGCTTATGTTTTGTGTATGGATATGAAGTTACCAGTTTCGTCAAGCAGAAAAAAAGACAGTGGTGTCGCGTCAAGTGTTGATTGTACCATACTCGGCCGCAATCGGTATAAATTAATGGAAAGTCGCGGATACTATCGGTACGGTACTTACCTAACCGTGCGCAATTGTTTTGTTAATTCCAATCTAAAATTCTCGCACATCTCCTGTAATAGGATTACGAGCATTGTTATGATGAGGCTTATTATTCAGAAAGTGTACGTTCCCGAGTGAATAAGGGACGGGTTATTTGTGTTTTACATATGGCGTTATACGGTTCAATGTTTCCGATGGTTGCGTGGATTGCGAAATCTATAAATTTTTTGTTATTTATGTCAAATTTAATAGTATATTAAGTAACAAGGGATTAAAAAGAGTTTTTGTTCCTGAAAGAATGGTTTAAAGCCCGAGGTTTGCCGAGGTCTTTAATATTCTTGAGGGAACAAAAGCTAGTTTAATCCAGTGTTACTTATACTGTTTTTTCCAATACCGACCGATCTGAATCCATTTGAAAATTAATATGCTATAAAAACTATAAAAAAGTAAGGCATTGGAAAAAAATTTTTTTTTCCAATGCCGACACGTTTTTATTGAATT